TCATATACAGTATAATACGATGTAACCCGTGTTCCCACATGTGTGAGCATTCAAGTATCACTCGCTATGCTACCTACCCTACGTTTTGATGACATTTTGGTACCAGTACATCTATCACCCGTTTGTATTTGGTGTTCTTTTTCCGATCTAATTGATTATTATAATTATTCATTTCGCATCGGTTCTTTGTTAAATTTTTCATGGAGCAACCTGTTCGCCTCCCCTTGTACTGTGGTTACAATTCGCTCTATTCTCCGTGTCCTCCACTAAGACACCTGTGTGCATACATTAAGGATAAACAACCGTGCCCGTGAAAAAATTGACAGTGATTGGTCGGTTTAACGCTTTAAGTACTCTTGTACCGGATTGACTGACGTTCAATGATCGAGTGACTCACACACATACCGAACCGCCGAATTCGCGTCAGGCTGGGAAATCTACGTGTACTATTGCACAATGAATCATGAATCAATGGAAATACAACAACATACCTCACATTACGGACAACCCGGTCTGGACAAAACAATCGGTTCAATACGACAACAGCAAACGTGCCAAGGAGCCTCTCTCTCTCTCTCTCTCTTGGAAATCAGCGGAAGGATGTGATGTGGATGTAGAGACAGTGCTATTTAAAGGTCGGTGAGGACCAATCGCAGGGATGGGATACCGAAGTGACACCAAAGNGGCAACCGTAATCGCGATGTAATTTAGAAAAAAGACAACGAACACGAGGAGGGCGTCTGGGTAGGTTGAACACACAAGGCGGGTGGTAGCATGTGCGATAAAGAATGAACAGTGACAACAGTGAAGACGGTGGGATAATCCTAGTGGGTGGGCGATGAACAGGTGGCCACAATAACAAGAGGCAATGTCTATGTCGGGTCGAGATAACTGATACCAATAATGGATTACGATAATAGGACAACAGTTACGATAATCATCACGAAACAGTTTCCATGTGGGGCGGAGATAATAGATTACAGTAAAAGTTGAATGAAGAAGGGGTCACGACGATTAACACGAAAGTTGCTATGAGGAGCGGTTAGGTAATCAAAAGGGAAATGCGTAAAAGTATAACTGAATGGCCGTGGAGAGGGAACGTAGCGAGTTGCGAGCCGGTGGGTAAAGAGGTCATCAAACTGGGAGCTGGTTAGGGCCGCACATGAATTGTTGGGTTTTTAACAGAGTACCGGTAGGTCCGGTGTACGTAATTCGAATCATACAATAAAGCTTCTTACGGCCCTGTTCCCTTTGATGTTCTTCGTTCTTTGGTCTGACGGTGCCTAGCGAGTGGCCTGGCTCAGTATCCTGTTCCGTTTTGTCTTACGCTGCCTGGTTTCTAAGCCGGATTGCTCATAACTTAAAGTATATATTGTTGTATCTCGTATAAGTCAATAAGTTCTGGATTAGGTTGCACGTTACAGTCTACCCAAAATGATGCAGGCGGAGTAATTCCTGAACTCATGTTGCGATGCCAAATGTTGTATCTCGTATAAGTCAATAAGTACGCAAGTAGTGAATTAAGTAGTAATTATATTTCCAGGATGTAAACGCAAACGTAGCTGGTCCGTAAGCCGGTGAGCAAGCAGTGCGTCAACACGCAGACAGGCAGGCACAGAAACTGGCGCGTCTTACCAAAAGGAGTGTCATCACGCTGGGCAGTCAACGAACCAATCACTGAGGAGAGATCAATACCGACCTCTTATTCGCTGAGGTGGATCGACCTTGTAACAGGGTAAGTCCGCATGACGTGCGTCCGTGCTTGTGGTGGCAGACCGCAACGGTCAATCACGTGATGCGCGGTAAACGTTTCACTCGAACGCAGGCTACAACACATACTGTTTGTTTATTTGTGCCTCAGCGTACACGTAGATAATCGAACTTCTGTTATATTTGCCTGGACTTGGGCCTGGGGGGATACGTTTTGTAGGAGTCACTCTATCACCACTGGATGAAAATCCGGTACAATGCTTGTCTGCTTCTTTTGAGTCTGTCGATATACAGCTGTATCAAGTGGGAAAATGAGTGACTTGATTCAAACTACTGGATCGAGGGGAGGTAAATAAGGTAGATAACTTCAACGCATCGGGACGAAATGATGTTACGAGTGTATCGAAAAATTGACGCGCCATGTGTTGTTTTATTGTGAATGTTATAGTGTTAATAACACTCGTGTAGCCCCTACTGGCATTCCATATAGATCAGGCACTTCAGAAGCAATCGGAAAGATTCTCGGCGATTTCAACATACACACATTCTTTCAGGTTGATAACGCTCTGAAACGCCATCTTGTGAAATTCAAAGATTCGATCGAATTGCAAGATCAAAACAACTGCATTTACAAAATCAGTTGTAAAGAATGCCCCGCAGTATGCAGTGGGCNAACCAGCAGACAACTCAAGATAAGAATAACCGAACACAAGAGAAAAGAAAAACACCCGCCTATGGACAAAGCAACTCTGATAAAACTATAGAGTTAGGAGACTCAGCGATCGCTCTTCACCCCATAGCCGAAGATCACACCACAGACTACGACAACCCGGAAATACTCTAACTCGGATTACGAACATGCACTGAACGCTCGTATGCCGAAGCTTTAGCCATTAACAACCACTCTGCATGTGTCAATAGAAATGACGGAATCGATATCCCGAGCATTTGGACTATCTTAACACCCCTAACGCGCAAGCACGACAAAGGTCACGGTGCCAATTGACTCCATCCGATGGTGGGAGTTAGTGTGACGGAGAACAAATCAGTCTGCCCATCACACACACACGCACACACACACACACACAGACATACGCACACGACGAAATATCCGTTAGCTTGTGATCCTTTCCTCCAAGCCATTCAATTGTAAAACCTACCATGAGATAGGTAACCCGCGGTAACCGAAACGTCGGCGAATATAATTCTCTACCGACATCGCTGTGTTAATAACCTCATAACATTCACAACAGATGACTTCAATTCCATTGAAATTTTTTTGCAATTTGATGGATTTGTATCCGACTCAATGTACGACTTCAAAAGTTGCAACGAATCTCCCGTAAGCACCCCAGGAAATGCACTGAATTTGTGTTTTACATCAACCCATTGGCGACNGAACAAACATTTCTTAAAGCCAGAAAACTGACGTTTTGTTTTTCACGCTCTCTACATCTCACGGGGTGCTGTTGTGTACAGGTTCCAAAATGTTTTGTTCTTGCTTTGGACGTCATGGTTCTCCTGTTATCTATCATCCTTGGTCTTTTGTTTCAGGATTTCATATTGATCAGACGCTCTTGGAAAAGCTTCTCTATAGATAAGGGAACGAACGAACTGTTCCTTATGTGGACCTAGCCAACTCCATTGTCAACTAACGTGGAGGCACCTTTCGGCATCTGACCGTTTGTATAACCCATTTCTGTCTAAAACATCCATCACTGGTTGTACGTCCAACTTCTGTCACGCGCAACAAACTAAAAACTATACACACACGCGTACCACGCCTTTTTCACAATTTTCAGAGCAAGGATATCAAACAAAACAGATTCATCTACCCCCGACACTGAGAATCGCGCACTTGGAACCTCATCACAGGTAGAACACAAGCATACTACCCACTCGGTGGCTACCCTGGGAGCAGTTGATCAGACTGTTCTACCTTCACTTTATACACGATGTAACACAACCCCTACCANCACTGTCACTGGCGAGCTTAGGACCCCATGGCTCGAGGTTCGAGTCCCGCCACCGCCACCCGACTTTGGTGGTAGGCAGCTCTACTATCGTCCGGTTCAATAGCACGGCTAACCTAGCTCGGGATCTTATGTGGTTCACCACTCCAAGTCCCGCAGGACTTAGGTTGCCGGTTTCCATTACTGAACAGCAGTTCCTCGTGACTATGAGGCTTTCCCCGTCTACTGTTCAACACACTCAGATATGTAGTTAAAAAAAAACATTTTGCGCATCTCGGCACTTGACTTGACTTTGCCCCTCCCCTCATGAAAGTGCATGGTTAATGATTGTACAAACTGAAC